TTTCCGAACAGTTCTGTCATTTAAACACATTCACCGTACACAGGACATATCTTTTTTGTTGTTTTCGGAGCATTTTTTCCTTTACGTTAAAAAAAAAGAAGCATCAAGCGCCTAAAATGCACTTCATATTCTTCTATTTTCATAGCGATGCAAAATTGACACGAATTAAGTAATTTTAAACTTTCTTTCTCAAGAAGTTTTCTCTAATTGGAAATATAAGCATATTATATCTGTCGACAAATTTAACGAGTTCTAACGCGTTAGTAAATGAAAGACAGCCGGACAGCCCATTATTATTAACCTCTTACAATTATGCGTGTAACCTCTCTTCCTTAGTTAGCACGACCGTTACGCCCTGTCAATACCTGATAAATATTGGCTCATTCCGCGTTCTGATCGCGTGGAAAGAGCGGAAAGATACTACTTGATTTCAGTGAGAAAATGAAAGAAAGAAAGAGGGGAAGATAGAAGTGGCAAGAGATGATCAGATGAAGCTGATAAGAACAGATACTACATTTTGATCCCAACCAAAAAACCCAAGAAGCGATTGCATTTTCTTGCCACCCCACGCTGGCAGGATGTGACACAAGCTCGGTTTAATGTGGAGAGGCTGAGCGTGACCCTGGTCAGAACCTGGCGGTTGACCTCTTGGGAAGGCAAAGTGAGATAAGCTTGGATGTGCCGGTGGTGTCAAGGATAACCGGCTGCAATTGAAGAACGGAGACCCAAGTTCTAATTCCAGTTGGGTTCGTTATATTCACTTACGCGCAAATACCTTTGGGAAAGGTATTAATCTCCCCAGTTATGGGTTAACTAGTAGGACAAGTATCAGTAAATAATTACTTTCTTCAAAAAATTATTACAATCTAAAAGTATTTTTTGGATTTAAATAACATGCAAAAGGATGATAAGCCGTAGAAAAATAATCCATGAAATGTTGATAAGCTACACAGGCACGTCTTTTAGATTTGTTTAAATTCTTTGGAATATAAACGTATAGAAGCTATTATGGTCAAAAAGTGAAGGATCAGTTTATATATTGATTGATTGATTGACCCCCCCCTTTTATCCTTTTATCCTCAATTAATATCTGGCTTTAAATAAACTTCAAAGGGTTGATAAGCCGTAGAAAATTAATCAATTAATCAATCAAATGCGGATTAAAATGCCTTTGTGATTTATTTACACTCTCTGGAATATAAATATATAGAAACTGCCGTGGTCACAAAGTGATGGATCAGTTTATATATTGATTGTAATAAAGAAGTGATCCCCCACTTTATATCCAAATTATTATCTCAAAAAATATTCCAGTCTAAGAATATTTTCTGGCTTTAAATAACCAGCAAAAGGTTGATAAACTGTAAAAACGAATCAATCAGTCTTTCAACAGTCTTTAAAACAGAGTTAACTTAGAGAAGCGAAAACCCATATATATATATATATATATATATATATATATATAAATTAAAAAGATGCGAAGATGTATTCTCGCCATTTATATCATTAACTTCACTAATCTGTTTTTTGTATGAATGATTTATTGTAATATAAATTGAACTGCACAACATATTTGATTTAAAAAGAACTTATCCGACATGCAACTTCTGGGATAATAGCTGAGACATTGCTCTATTTATTGAACAATTTAGTTCATGCCACATCGACTGAAAAAAAACTACGACAACAAAAGAATTCTCCAATTACCATATTAGTAAAATAAAAACGCACTCTCTTTTAAATTTTCAAAAAATTCAACCTTAGCATTGCGACTGCACGCTCCAGAATTTCTTACAGTTAACAATAACACATTTCTAAAAAACATATTTCGATTCACATCTAGTCTTTCGTGTCTCGTTATTACCTGGATGTATTAAAAAAAACAAATCAATTTCCACGCCTGATGATGTCTGTAGGAACAGATGAAAGTACTAGCAAAAAAAAAAGACCTTATACAAGTTGAATTTATTAAAAACAGGGATCATAACATTCTTCTAGAGGTTCGTGGGTTAATGTAATTTTAATAAATTTGTTTGCGAAGATGTATTCTCGCCATTTATATCATTAACTTCACTAATCTGATTTTTGTATGAATGATTCATTAATATATATATATATATATATATATATATATATATATATATATATATATATATATATATATTATTAAATACATTTTTATGTTTAACGTTCTTTTTTATAGATACAAGTATTTAAGTAAATGCTCTGTTTATAATAAACAGTATTAAATAACATTTACAGGCCTGAATGTCCGAGAGAAATTTTCATACCGAACGCTACTTTTGTGGCCGAGTCGGTTAAGGCACGTCAGCGTAAATGACGGTTCCGTATAGGATGCAGGTTCGAATCCTGTCAAAGGACGAATATTTTTTTATATATATATATATATATATATATATATATATATATATATATATATATACAAAGGTTAATGATTTAATTGGCGAGAAATCCATCCTCGCGAACAATTCAAATAATATACAAAAACCCCGAAACTGTTTATGAATGAAAAGATCCTTGTTTTTATAAATTTCTGTTGCATAAGTTCTTATTATATTTACAAGCTTTCGTCTGTTCCTACAGACATCCTCAGGTACGGAATAGATTTTGTTCTTGTTTTTACTCTCAGTAATAAGAGGACAACGAAAATATATGTATTGTTGTAATCCGAAAAATGCTATTAGAAATGAGTTATTGTTTTTGGAGCGTGCAGTCGCAACGCTGAGTTTGAATTTAAATTTTACAATTGTGCGTTCTTGTACAAATATATATATATATATATATATATGTGTGTGTGTGTGTGTATGTGTGTGCGTGTGTGTATGTGTGTAGCTGGCCATTCGTATTCGAGGAGACCCGTCTACTAGGGCGGATAGACAATCCCTATTGCACATGCTTGTTATTGGATTTGAGGGATCGATCCCAGCGTGCGGCACCTTTGGAAAGTGCCTGAAAACAATACCACGGGTTGACCTAACCCTTGTGAGTGAAATTGGGTAGACGGAACCCTTGGTGACGTAGATAGCTGTGTTAGCACGAAGTCACAAGTCATCGTGACCGAGGGCTTGCGCGTACAGCCTTCGTTCAAATTGCTGATCCTGCTAGATAACACGCTCTTTCCTAAAAACTGTTACTAAGGTCTGGTCATCATAGTTGCAGTATCAACCACAGGGGGGCTCTGTGAGGTATGAATAAACACAAATGCTGCAATATATATATATATATATATATACAGGTTGATTGAAAAGTAAGTCCCCATTTTATGTATGATGGACTCTTCCGCCTTGTAAAATTTATAGTTAGACGGGAGAGTCCATCATACATAAAATAGGGAGTTACTTTTTAATCACCTTGTATTTGGAGAAGTAGAAATACATATAAACTACGCAAAAATCGGTGTAATTTCTATACATTTTCGTCTTAAGCTGAATTTTCTTTCATTTTATCATTTAACTAGCAGCATGACCCGGCGTTGCCCGTGCTTGATTCAAAATCGTACGATTCATACAGCAATCGCTATCACTTGACTTAAAAATATTTTGCCCTTCCTTGCCTTTAAAGGAGTGCCCTTTGCCGTGCTGATGTTGCTACATGCCTTACTTCTTGCCTATCTCACACTGCAATTTTTTTCTAAGCTCTATACTAAACATTAAATCTGTTACGAAAAAAGAACTAAACAAAATGAACACAAAACAATCAGCTTTAAAAAAGGACTCGTAACTGGAAAAACCGAATGAAAAAAGAATGTTAACAACAAATAATTTTTCACGCCAAACCCAGTTCTGCGGAATCAGAATCAACGTTGAGTTTAAGCAAGCGAATGAACCAATTGGAGTAAAGTGCCATGCAGATTTAAATTTTTCCCACTTGTGACGAATGCAGCTATCGACTTTTTTGTATGCTAGCATGCTAGTTAACATTCGTGTCAGTCAGCTGTTGGCTCTCACGCTGGCCAATAGAATCTTCCTGTCTATTCGTGGCAGCCAGGTATAGGCTCTCACTGTGGCCAGTAGAAAATAGCTGCAAACTACATGAAAACTGCCGTAGAAGCATGAAAAAATCGATTATTTCTACTATCGATGGGAGTTATGAAATGCAAAGTCGGTCTTGGCCTTTCCGCTAACTTGGAGCATGGGCATGTAAATTTTGGTGTAAATCCGTCGTTAATTGCGGCCGTGCATTCGTTACACACACAAACACACATCCTGCCTTTTATAGATAGTGATAACACAATATTTTTTTTTGATATATAGAAATTTATATATATTCTCCCTTACTTGTAATATATATATATATATATATATATATATATATATATATATATATATATATATATATATATATATATGCAATAGTATTCGTATTTCCCAGAGGAGACCTTTTCCATTAGTATTTTGATTTTTGACTAGTGTTTATTTAGCTTACTTCAATTAAAATGCCTGAAATACGATTTAAAAAAAATATGTTAAAACTTATCATGGTTTATATTAATTTTTTTTTTTTTTTACTTTAAGATATCACTGATAAAAATATGATATTTTTACACAAATATTATCTTACGATAGTTGATGGAAAAATGTAGTTTAGGTGTGGGGAGGAAATGATAGTTTTAGTTTTATGCAAAACAAATTTAGTTACTGAAAGGATAAATGCGTTATTATGGCAGGCAATTTACCTCCTCAGAGCGGAATTTTTTATAAAATGATAAAAAAAAAAAATAAAAATAATAATATTATAGAAAAAAAGTTCAGCTCTCTTTCATTTGACAGAGGGAAAAATTTGATGAAAATAGTTTTGAACGAATAATGCCTGTGGGGACATTATCCAAATATAGCCAACCATTTTATATGGGGGAGGGGAGCACAATTAATTGGGTTTGGCAGAGTTAATTTAGGTTGACACTAATTTTGTCCCGTACTAGTAAGTGAAGAAATGATATGAATTGATTGGTCATGGCTAATTTCTCCATACCTCTTTTAACGACCAGATCACGTTTAAACACCGGTTAACGTCCGATCACCGAAGTTAAGCAACGTTGAACCTGGTCAGTGTTTAGATTGGTGAGCTTTCGGCAATAACAGGCGCTGTCAGCTTGGATGTGCGGTTGTTGTAATGAATAAAGGTTCGGAATGAGAATTAGGAGAGCCGAGTTTGAATTCCAGTCGGTTACATTATATTGACTTACAAGCAAATACCCGTCTCCTCCCAGCTATGGGTTAAATAGACTTTTTTCAGAAAATCGTTATCTCCAAAACATTCTTAAAATCAGAAAATAGGTCACGTGTTAAAATAACCTCCAAAAAGTTGATATCCTGTAAAACACAAATCAATCAATCGATAGACATATGCATAAATGTTAATGTTACCATTTAACTTTCTCAAGAGCTAATGATAAAATCAGCTGAAAATAATTGTTTCATTGTTTTCACTTGGAAGGAAATGAGAACCTGATTCGCTGGCGGGAGATATTAATTATATAGTGATACAAGTCTTACTAATTAACCCATAGGTGGGGAGACAATTAAGAAAAAACATGCGACCTGCACAATTTAATCGACGATGTTCCATTCTCCTTCATGACAAAACTCGGAATGAGAAATCGTAGAGGACTGTTCGAATTCGGTTACGTCATATTCGCTTACATACTTTGAGAAAGGTATAAATCAGCCTCTTCTCATCCCAGCTATTGACTGATTGTTTTTTTACGGTTTATCAACCTGTTGCTGGTTATTTAAAGCCAGAAAATATTTTTAGATTATAAGAATTTCATTTTTTTGAGATAATGATAATTTAAGCTTAATAATTTAAACATAGTTGGAGGAATACGAGGTGGCGTTATACCTTTCAAACAGAAATGTAATTCGTAGAATTTATAAGCATTTTGTACTGTTTTTGCCTTTGCTTCGTGAAGAAACAATGAAAAGGCAATTCATAACAACTACTATAATGTTAAAATGTTGATTCATTTTTTATGGCTTATCAACCCCTTGAAGGCTATATGAATATAAAGTTGGGGATCAATTCTATATTACAATCATTATATAAACTGATTTCTCACTTTGTGGCCACAGTAGTTTCTATACATTTATATTCCAGAGAATGTAATTAACTCCAAAGGGCATGCATTTTATTAATTGATTCGTTTTTTACGGTTTATCAACCCTTTGAAGTTTATTTAAAGCCAGAAAATATTTTTAGATTCTAAGATTTTTTGTGGTGTGGGGTGTGGTAATAATTAGTTAGAAATACAAGTCTTATTAATTAACATGGAAAGCAATTAAGCAAAATACGAGGTCCAATATTGCTTCGTGACTATTCTTGGCTACATATTGCCAGAAAGACATTGCAAAAGATCACCAACTTTGGATACAAGACTTTGCCACATTTTTTTTCGTACATTGACTCCAGCTTTTCAAGCATCTTGACAATTTTTTTAAGCCAAAAGACATTCCAATGAAAACAAGATGCAGAAACTCCATTCAAAGAATTCTTGGTGTCCAAACCTTTAGAGTTTTGTTTGAAAGGTATAAATAAGCTTGTAACTCGATGGCAGAAATCTATAGACGTTTGGAGTTCCTATTTTGACTGACTGTTTAAATATATTAATTAAACACTGTTTAATTACATTAATGCATTGTTTCTTGGCATCCACACGTTTAGGGTTTTATTCGAAAGGCATGAATAAGCTTGTAACTCGATGGCAGAAGTCTATAGATGTTTGGGATTCTTATTTTGACTGATCTAAACACTGTTTAAATACATTAATTCATGAATAAAAGTTGATTCCAAAATCGGTCATTATTTTCCTAACTACCAAACAAGATGTAAACAAGGCGCCAAAAATGCATTGGTGAAACATTCCGAAAGGAAAGAATATATGAACGTAAGAGGAACTTGAAATTAAACATCACCCTCAATACGTTGGTATGCCGCCAGAACTTACAGGATCACAATTTTGACCTGGAAAATGCCGTTTCATTTTAAAAAGAAAAAGGAAAAATAATTAATTTAGAAGGTGTATTGATATTGCTATGATCTTCATATGCCCTGTAGTTAATATAGGACAGGGCTTCTTAAGCCTATCAGCTGTTTTTGCTAAACTAGTTTTGAAATAATGTGGAATAGGAAAATCTTAAATTAATGCATAAATAAAAAGCAGTGTTGATAATAGTAAAGCATGTTATATTCTGCTCCAAATTAGATCTATTACTGATTCATTCCACAACAAAACCTGCTTGCTGAATATGAATATAAAACAACGACACCACCCAGACCCGGTTACGGAGATAGGACCTGTTACAATTCTATGGGATTACACAATACACACTGACAGAACAATCAAAGCCAACCGCCCAGATATTGTTATTAAAGACCACAAACAAAAAGTGCCTCCTTATTGATATGGCAGTCCCTGCTGACTGCAATGTATCTTTGAAGATAGTCAAAAAACTGTCAAAATACAAGGACCTTGAAATAGAAATCTCAAAAATGTGGCATATGGGAACATCAACAATCCCTGTTGTAGTTGGAGCCCTCGGATTGGTTGGAAAAGATTGCAGTAGACTAATTGACGGGATTCCTGGAAGTCCATGCCTCAAGGAGATACAAAAAATTGTTCTGACAAGTATAGCCCACACTTTACGAAGGGCTTTATCTATGTAATATTTTTTTTGGTGGGGTGGTCAGTGGAAAGTGTCATGATGCCATTTCTAACCTTAGGTCCCTAAGCGGGACCCGGGAAGAAATGTGTAAACGCCAGAAATCAAAGAAAATAATAATAATAATAATAATAATAATAATAATAATAATAATTTACTCTTTGCGCAGAAACACCGACGTCAAATCCGGTTAGACAAAAGAAATTCACCCACAAAAAAATAAATAAATAAAATACAATTTAAAAGGTGTCAATCACGAACGAAGCAAAAGTGCGTCCAAAAATGCTGAGACATGTATTCACTAGTGGATACGAGTCAACCAATCCGCCACAAACACCAATGCCAGGTTATCGACTCTCCCATCCTCCAGGTCGCTTCCCTCGCTCACAAGGTGACATTCCACCTTGAGCGTTTATACCGGCAATACAAAGAATTTTAACATATCCTGTCTCTTTTTTATTTCCGCCTCACCGGCAGTACTTTACTGTTTTTGTTTTTTAGTTTGTTCGCGTGCAAGTATTTTTTTTAACCATTTCACCCCAAGCAAGGTGGGAATGCCACTAGTACACAGGGGTTGAAGGGAGTGAAAATGACAGTGAAACCTGAGTATCGGAAGGATTGAGGAAAGGAAAAAAATGAGCTCTATTCAAGAAGATGGCAGTTGACGTTGGATTTAAATTTTTGAAGATTGTAATTATCAGGGGAGCAAGAAAACGAAAGGAAGTTCCACAGGCAGGAAGTGTGGGAAAAGAAACTGTTGGAGTAGAAGTGGCGCTTACATTTAGCTAATTCAACAGTAAAATGGTGGGACCTAGATGCCAATCTAGTAACCCGCTTAAACTCACGTAATCCGGGCACCAGTAAAAAAGGTTGTTGTCAGTGGTCAGGAATTAAGTCAGTTATTATTGATAGAATAAGGCTATTATATGTATACTGTAAATGCTTTGCTAATGATTTTACTACCATGAAGAAAGGGATTTTTTAAAACCATTTCATTCCAAGTAAGGTGGGAATGCCACTAGTACGCAGAGGGTTAAAGAGTAAAAATGAGAGACAAGATTGGATAGAGGAAGGATTGAGGAAAGGATAAAAGCTGAAGGGGGCTCAAGAATATAGAAAATGTCGATTGACATTGCATCTAAATTTTTGAAGAATTTAAGTTGTCAGGGAAGCATGTAAACGGAAGGGAGTTCCACCGGTAAGAAGTGCGAGCAAAGAAATGGTCGAAGAAGAAGTGGCAGTTGCATTTAACTATTTCAACAGTAAAAGAGTGGCACTTAGGTGCTCAGTCTTTTAAAACTATAGGACAGTTTAATATAATACGGTTAATATAAATATAATGCAGTTAATATAAATATAATACGGTTAATATAAATATAATGCAGTTAATATAAATATAATGCAGTTAATACAAAGATAATATGGTTAATGTAAATATAATATGGTTAATATAAATATAATGCAGTTAATATAAATATAATATGGTTAATATAAATATAATGCAGTTAATATAAATATAATATGGTTAATATAAATATAATGCAGTTAATATAAATATAATGCAGTTAATACAAAGATAATATGGTTAATGTAAATATAATATGGTTAATATAAATATAATATAGTTAATATAAATGTAATGCATTTAATATAAATATAATATGGTTAATATAAATATAATGCATTTAATATAAATATAATGCAGTTAATATAAATATAATATGGTTGATATAAATATAATATGGTTAATGTAAATATAATATGGTTAATATAAATATAATACAGTTAATATAAATATAATATGGTTAATATAAATGTAATGCCTTTAATATAAATATAATATGGTTAATATAAATATAATGCATTTAATATAAATATAATATGGTTAATATAGGTATAATACAGTTAATGTAAATATAATATGGTTAATATAAATATAATGCAATTAATATAAATATAATATGGTTAATATAAATATAATACAGTTAATATAAATATAATATGGTTAATATAAATATAATACGATTAATATAAATATAATGCAGTTAATATAAATATATGGTTAATATAAATATAATGCAGTTAATATAAATATAATGCAGTTAATACAAATATAATATGGTTAATATAAATATAATATGGTTAATATAAATATAATATGGTTAATATAAATGTAATGCATTTAATATAAATATAATATGGTTAATATAAATATAATATGGTTAATATAAATATAATGCAGTTAATACAAATATAATATGGTTAATGTAAATATAATATGGTTAATATAAATATAATATGGTTAATATAAATATAATGCAATTAATATAAATATAATATGGTTAATATAAATATAATACGATTAATATAAATATAATACAGTTAATATAAATATAATATGGTTAATATAAATATAAGCCTTTATATAAATAT